ATGTAGTAATTAAAGGGCATGAAGGAAAGGAACAATTTAATTTTTGGTTTAGTTTAAGCATTCAACAAGTCATTAGACATATCTCGAAGCTATTTGAACTCATGCAGCTTGCTAGGTGTTTGTTCAACAAAGCAAGAATTGTCTACATCTTTAGAAATTGGAAACAATGCACTGATCCAGACTACCAACTTTAGTAAACCTGATCGTTACGATATGTTCACATACTCAATGTGTAAGTAACTTAAAACTGACCAATGTGATTTCAAAACTGGCAGAAAATGATATTTTAGGAGAGAAAATTGGGTGCTTCTGTGATGTGGAGGAATAGGAGTTGAATATAGCACCTTTCACAACTAGAGGACATCCCAAAGCATTTTACAGCCAATAAAGTACTTTTAAAGCAGTGTCACACTTAAAGCAAACCTCACAGCTGAGTTACACATTGGAAGCTCCCACAATCAGAAATGTGATATTGACCAATAGGATAAATATTGACCAGGACATCTGGGGTAATTTTCCTTGCTCTTTTTTGAAATGGCACAAGATCTTTTGCACCCACCTGAGAGAGTAGGCATGGCTTCAGTTTAATGTCCAAAAGATGATGCCTCTGATCATGCCTGTGAAGGAACTGCTCACCTTTTTGAGTTCAAGTGTGTCTTGCATGCACAACTTCAGAGATGAGACTGCTATTGATTGATTCATGTTTAACACCATGAAGTACAAGGAATTAGTCGCAAAAAATGTAGTGTTGATAGGAGACAATGGTCAGCATAGACATGGTGGGCCAAAGGGCCTGTTTCTATGCTCTATTAACAAAAGGATGGCTGTAGACTTCCCAATACCTAACTGGAGAAAATTGTAATGACAACAACATGCAGTGGAAACAGACCCACATGTCGGCAGCAACATATAGATTTAGAAGTGGTCAAGACATAACTTGGCTAGTGATCAAAATAATAGGAATTAATGGGTGATGACAAGGTCAAGTGGAAGACTGTGAATTTATGTGGAGGGGGAGGTTTGGCACCAAAGAAGTGCAATTAATTCAGCAGAAAGACTTCAGAAAACTGAGATGAAGATTTAAGTCATAGGGGATCAAGAGCTCTGCAGCACAAAAGCTGAGGAAGAAAAGGAGGGAGACTATCTCAAAAGGCATGGCAAGATGGTAGGGCAAATATGGTGTTTGATGAGGGAGAATGTGCTTGAAAAAACACAGGGAGAGACCAAGGGGTGAGTTGTAGATGGGTACCTAACATGAATGCAACAAATTGGATGCTGCGAGTAATAGAAGGATGGGAGACATTTGTGAGGTACAAAATGTTAACAACCTCAGGTTTAAGTTAACATAATGATCTTATGGTGTAGTGGTAGAATCCCTACCTCTGAGCTAGAGACCTGGGTTCAAGTCCTACCTGCTACAGGGGTGTGCAATAACATATCGGAACAGCTCGATTAGAAAATATCTAAAAGAAACTGGATTCCAGTGCAAACATCTACAACAAGGTTTGAATACCAAATACCTTGTTAGTGAGTGAACAACCAAGATGGAAATAAAGAAAGTGGTGGAAACTCTTGATTTGCAGATTTCAAACAGGGTCTAGTGAGGTGACCTGGATTGGAAGCAAGTTGGCAAAGTTAGCACAAGCTAGCATGAGTGGAAGAATGATTGAGTTGATGCTTATATGGAGGCAACAACTGGTACCTCTACGGGCTCTCTGTAGAAAGCTTAGACAGACAGAGAGGGATAGGTACTGATTTATTCAAGCTTGGGATAGTGGCAGGAGAGTATGAAGGCAGAGAATTAGCAATACATTGGAATTGTTGGGGGTGTCAGAGCAAAGTACTTTAAACCAGAAGAATGAAACATTACATAACAATGTGACCAATAGATCAGGAGATAGGGGAGAAAGAGTCAAAGTGGGACCAACAGAGAGAGGAGAAGGATCTGTAGGTAATGGGCATGCACTCAGTGTTACAGCCAAAATGCGAATAGACTGAGAAGGAATTTAGCTTATACAGACATGGCATCAAGAAAAAAAAATGACTTGATCACAAATGGAGAATAGGAATGATAATCTGAAATTTCATGAAGTTAAAACCTGAGATCCTGCAGTGAAATGAAATTGTCCTGTAGACATTCAGAATGTTAAGATCCAGTTCAGCTTGTGATCAATTCATTCTATAAAACCCCATGAAATGATTGCTCAAAGGTAATGTTCAAAGCACTACTTCCACGACACAGAGGCACCAGGTTTATGTATGGTTTCAACGTGTTTCCTGTTCAGTTCATGTTGACAAAACTTGTGCTTAAATACTAAAAGTAATGTATATCCTATGTTGGACATTGAGCTTCTTTCTACTTCTTTGATATGCTGTAACTCTATAATTATTTGTTAAGTTCAAAGGAAGTGATGCCTTAATATGTTCTAACCTTTAAAAGCAGTTAATTCGTTGTAATTATGTAATCTCTACAAAATCTGAGATAACCAAACCAAGATTAGCCCTAAGGGAAATAAACATATCCCAGTAATTTTCATGGGTGTTCTCTTGATCTCCCAACGTAACTTCAGCAAAAGATAGGCAAAATCTCCAGAGAAGGCGCTGGAATGAAAATCAGACTGTTCTATAAAGGGCAGACAATCCTCTTGGACAGATTTCCATCCATGCAATGAAGCTGCAAAATTTACCCCTTGGTTTTAAACCACTTTCTGATTCGCTAGTATTCTTCTGCATATCTCTCCTTCAGAATGGAGTATAGGATATTCCTGAATCAGTGCTGGATTTCCTCATTTTACATAAGTGTTTTTTTGTGGATAAGCTTAAGCAGTACTTATTGACAGATTGCTGATTTTGAGGATAATCCCAGTTGAACTATCTTTTACTCTATATACTATTTATACCAGGAACTCAAACCCAACCCAACTTTATTCTTCTCTTTATCTACTTGACTGGAGATCAAGATTGGTTTTCTTTCCAACTACTTTGACTGAGATCAGATTGACTTGGAACAAACTTAAATTTGAAGCATTCTGATCTATACGGTTCAATGTGGCGCAACATTCCTGTGGGCAGCTGAGCCGTACAGGAATTCATTAACAGGAGTTCTATCATTGATTTCAAGTCTTGGGAGAAATTCCCTTGATGCAACAAATTAGAAAGTGATGAAGCAACCTCAAGAGTAAGCAGATTTCAAAATTAGAGAGAAAACACAAGGAGAGAGAATACCAAGCCAGCAGTTCTTCCAAAACTCAGTGGACTGTGGTTTCTATCCTATTTGCAGCAAACTTTCCAAGTCAACCTCAGCTATGTACCCACTGGAACCCTAGTATATACTCATAATGATAAGCATAGTTATCTTTGCCTTGAATGAGTAAAAGAGGGAAAACCACTCGTGTGGATCTTTCAATAACTGAGACTTTGCTACTATAATAACAGCAAAACTGTAATCGTTCATCAACAGACAGTAACTTTTGGGGCTGAACTTGAAGAATAAGTTGGGATCTGCTGCAGTTGTGAACCAGTTCAATATCACAATCCCAAGCGCAAGACATTTTTGGAGAGGTTGGTTTGGGTTTGGAATGACTACATGCCCTTGAACGGGATATTACAGCCAATTACAGGGCCTTGTTCCCCAATTTGCTGAGGTACCTATTTTGCAGTTTAGATAGATAGATAGATAGATAGATAGAGTCATACAGCATGGAAACAGACCCTTCGGTCCAACCAGTCCATGCCAAACATAATTCCAAACTCAACTAGTCCCACCTGCCTGCTCCTGACTCATATCCCTCTAAAACTTTCCTACTCACGTACTTATATTTTGAGATTGTGACAAGCAGCTGCTTTCATGGACAGAGACCTTGCAATTTGTTTTCATAAGGGTGTATGACAGTGACATAAAACATATCAAACAAGAGCCAACAAAAAGATAACCATTCCTGTCTCCCTTTAAGCAGTACTGTATTCAGTGGCCAGCTCCTCTATTTGTCTGAAAAGAAACCCGGTTTCCTGTTTATTTCATGAGTGCCCGTTTAAATTTTGGTTGCCAAATTCTGAATTGTGAAGAAACTTATAATGAAAAGTCTACCGGAATTGACCACGGCCATGTAGAATGTCTTGCACATGAAAACACAATGAGAAACTGGCCACTTCAAAAGATAATTTTTTTTACTCTAAACTGAACAGAATTTATGGACTTTTTGTTTCTTCCTAGGAAGTGACAGATGGTGGTATTTCCTGTCAGGGTAAGACTGCCAGGCTATAGTGGGCTCACATCAGGAAAGTGGGAGGTGGTTTAGGCTGCACTACTTTCGGTGAAGGACTCCAACACCAATAACAGCCATCTGCATAATCACTCACATAAAACAACTGTTAAAAAAATTTATAAAAATGCTGAGCTTTGTTTCCAAGGGTGCCTCAATATTGTACACTTTTACTTTATCCTATAGGAATTGTCGGGTGAGACTGGTGATATATTAGTGTTGGAGGGCCACACATTGGCCCTCCAGCTACCGAAACTGGAAAACGTCCTTAATCTAACAGCAGTAGACTCCCTGCCGTTAATTGATTGTTTGAAAATCTGAGTGGGACTGCTTGTAACATACCCTGCAAGGTCAAGATGCAGAACTTGGTTCAACTTCAGATCCACAAACCCAGAGTGAAATTACAGCTCGTTATGTCTGTACATGGCGCAGGTAGACCTAGAAATCCAGAGGTGCTGTTGGTGATTCCCTGATCCTCTACAAGGTGTACTGAAGACATTGCAGAACATTAGTTATGGGATGCTCATCCAGGTAGTCACTCATTGCAAGACTGAAAATGGACCACAACCAATTTCTATTCCGTATATTCTCAGAACCTCTCTTTTCTTTAAGTCAATTCAATGTTGATATTTTGACTCGATATCTATATTGAGAAAAAAGTTTGAGAGAAATCTCATGAATGAAACATTTGCCTTGTTTTGGACATCAAAATAATGATCTTTTCTTTCTTTTCAATAGAATGCTACAAAATAACCAGCTGAAGAGACTCCCAAGTGAGGCATTATGGGACCTTCCCAACCTCCAATCGCTGTAAGTTATCAAGAATTGCAACTGATAATTACAAGTTAGAATTGCTTGACCTCCGTGTCATCTGTCTTTTGCAATCTTTGTTTTAGAGTTGCCATAATGCTGTCAAATGTCGACCCATTAGTGAGGACATATCCATTTTGGTTCAAAGCTTTGACCAATTTTGTTGGATCTCACTGTTGAACATAAACACTGTCCCATGTATTTGAATGAGCTTACAATTTGTTACGTGCTTTGTGACCATAAATCTCACTCAAGAGATGTGAAGAGCATTACATAAGATTAAACTTGTACTTTTGTACTGAATAAAACTGAATTCATGCACTTATTAAAAAGTCAAATTTTATGATTATAATGAGGTATGAAAATCCAATGAACATTGTCTTTGATTGTCAGCTTTTATTTAATTATAGCTTAACAAATAAAACAGATTGTTAATTGTAGATAAATAAAATCTAACAGCGTGCAAATCTTTAACACATTATTCATTATATTTTCATGACTAAATGTACAGCATAGCCCTTATGTGCTTTTAAATAAAATTAGGAACTCTTGTGCTGCAGTGATAGTATCACTACCTCTGGGCTGGGAGGCCTGGGTTCAAATTCCATCTACTCCAAAGCTCTATGTCATAACATCTTTGAACAGATTGACTAGAAAATATGTATAAATACAATTAGAGCAATGTTTCAAGAAATGCTGAGAATACAGAAACATAAACTATCTTAATTTCCTTGGCATTAATTCCAACATTTTATAGGGACCCTAACTGACCAATTTGCAAATTGTCACTCTTTTTCAGTCATTCACTTTTTTGCATCTTATTTTATCTCCAGCACAGCAATTATATTTTCTTGAACACTTGTTATTATTATGCAGCTTACATGTCCATGCATTAAATATTTACAAAAATAACCTTCTGTTCAGACAAGACGGTTGTGCTATTAGGCAAGTAGTACGACCAAATGATCTTTCTTTGCAGTTGACTGGTTTAATTTGTAGAAGCATAGAATAAAGATAAAGACGTGCTATTTAAATCATGCCAGAATTAGAGAAAGCTTTCAATGTAACAGTAGACTGTAGCCAGACAGGAAAACAGGATAACATTCACATGCTCAATAAACAAATATTGCCTCAATACACTTGATACCATTCAAGGACATTGCTTCCAAAATCAGATAAGAATGAATGTAAAAACGAGGCTGTAGATAACAATGCCCACATCAAGCAATGAACTACAATAAACGTTGTTGTGTCTTCTACCTCCTTGTTTTTAACGCAGTTTTGATGGGTCCTGGTTATCTTTTGTTACAAAAACACAGTGATACCTTTGTGTTCAAAGCAAAGCTGACTGCCAAATTTTTACGCCAACTTTAAGGGGTTGATGAGTCTATTTCAAGTGTCAATGTTCAGGCCATTCAAACACATTCTGGTAGACAACAGTAAGAACCAGTTGAGGTAAATGCTACTATGACATCTAAGTGGAGTGTCCTGGTAAGAAACAGCTGACTCTGTATTTGGATTCCTCAATTTTTTTTTGTCAAAGCTATCGTACCAAAAACTTAACTCAATTTTGTCTTGAAAATAAACTGGTTTTATACTACAAGTAAATTTATGATGTTCATTTCTTTTCAAAGATTTAAAATCATGAGTTGCACAAAATGCCATAAAAGGAAAAAACCTACATTATTTTTCACCTTTTATTTCAGTTCTTCAAGAGAACAAAATAATTGATTAAGTAATTCACATGAGGTTAAGATGGAACTAAGATATCATAAATAACATTCAAAAATAAATTTAAGAAAGGTCTGAATTCATCATAATTGAGAAAGTTGGCATTCCATAAATGTGTTAGTCTTTTTCAGGGCAAATGAGGCTATTCAGAATTATAAATTTAAGACAATGTTAAAATTTCAGTTGCACCTTACTCGACGAGGTTCAACTTATTCCAAAGGATTTTGTTTAAATCAAGATTGATGCCATAAAAGCATAAGTTTTCATCATTATACTCTGGTGTAACTTCAACTCTGCACCCCATAGGGAAGGGAAGTATTATTGTCAGTGATTTCTGTGTTTTATATATAACTTCAAAAGTGCAGATTCCAGAAGTAGCTGTTAGTTTAAGAGGACTAGTGACAGTAAATACTGATAATTGCACAATCACTACTATCACAAAATCCAGGCAAAGGATTTCTGGAACAATGCAGAATTTCTTCTAAGTAATTTTAACGATATAGTTATTTTAGGAAATGTAAAACTCAAGGCATGGGTTCAACCTTATAATTAAAATGCCATTCTTAGCTCATAGGTTCTTGAAATGCACTGACACACATGGTGTGAAATACAATTGGCAGAAAATGTCCAATTGAAATACTCATGCTGGCTTCCCAATTCAGTAAATGAGCTTTTAACCGGTTAGAGGTGTTCAAATACCAATAATCCAGTTCATAACAGGATTGACACAAACTCATCAACAACCCTTAAATTTTCATTTATTGAAATATAGATTTTGATCTGTTGGTTAATGCATGCAGCCTCATCCAACAATTACTAACTGCCATTTTTATCAGAAATTAAGCCAATGTGAGAAGAGAGGGAAATATATTTCACACATGGAAGGAGGCTTTTTCAGGCTTAATTTGCATATGTCCAATGAAAGCTAAGAACTATGACATCTGGGAGTTAATGAAACCTTATATTTGACAAGAATTTGGTGTTTTATGGATTTGAAAGTCGGCAAAAGATTCTAGGCTGTACAATTGATCAAATTCCCAGAAAGTCCCTATCTTCAAGAAGAATATATGGAAAAGGCTTGGAAGTGAAGGCAAATCTCATCTCTCCAGATACGTATGTTTAAGCTAAACTGAAGCTTGTGCGATTCTAGTTCAATCCAATGCTCTTAAAGTAATTGAAAAAGAAAACAAACTTAATTAGGACAAAATAGTATAGTTGAAATGGCCAGAATGCTGCCAAGATAAAAATGTTTTTCATTCAGTTAACTGCTCTTTTCCAACTGTTTCCACAGTCTCAAAATGTAACAAATCTGTTAGATTACTTTTCTAGACAATGCATGCGGATCACAATATTTCCCTCCCATTGCAGTTTCTCAGGAAATCATAATAATCACAATGGCTGAACATTTTCACATTTCACCATGGTGCATCGTGAAACATCAATGCTACTTGCTAAACATAGTAAAGGCATACCATTGAAATTACAGCGTGGTATACTAGTTCACATCTTTGCAAATTAATTTTCACTTTGTATCAATATAAATTTTGTAAACATATTTTAAGTGACCTAAATCACATCTAGGGAAAAAATTTGCCAAAAACCTGAATGAGATATGTATTTTTCAACTTTAACTTCATAACAACTCAAATAAGCCTTTTCAAACTTTGCCTTCAATACAGTTATTATTTAGGGTGTTGAGGAACATTTGACTCACTGTGAATATTAAAAGTTAATGTTAGTTGTAAAGAGTACCTAGGCAGAGATCCACTTCCCTTGCCAGAGGTGACAGTTCTCTGCCTGTCCTGCATCATTTCAACAGGAGCTGGTCTGTCGCATAACTCTGCTCTGCGATTATGACTAACAGAAACCCTGGAGTTAGTTCAAAGAAAATAATTAAATATCAAGATTCAGTTACAAACAATGAGAATGAATTAATTCATGATGTTGTCTGAATATCATTATTTAGCTTACTGCTTCAGGTGCTCCACTGAAATGTCAACTAAGACTCAACTAAAACATGGATAAAGGAAATGCTGATATTGAGTTCTGTTAAACAATAACCATCATTTCATAATGTTTTCAAGACTTGTAATTTGGCAACTATTTTGGGAACGAGTGACTAACATAATGACCCCACTGGTGAGAATCTCTTGCCTATCATTAAGAGCAAGAGGCGAACATCTCACCCCATACACTGGTGATCCATGTCACCAAAAGCTGCCAGCCAACCAGAACCTGGCTACATCTGGGTCCTAAAGTCCCTCAGTCAATATCTGATCCTTGGTGGATCCAGCAGAGAGAAGGTAAGTCCTTTATATTGGGGATGAGGGAGAGCAGTGAAGGAGATCCCACCCCCCGCCACCACCACCACCGTTAACTCAGCAGGCCAATCAATAGTTGGGAAATAAGCCACATTTCTAGATATTTTTAATCAATGCATCCAGACTTTTTATGATGCACCTCTGGAGCAGGTGGAAGTTGAACTCAAAGGCAGAGACACTACTGCTGTTCCACAAGAGCTCGCACGCTACCTTTCTATCCAACCAGGAAGGCAAGTCATTAGGGAGGTGACCAGTTTATGTCCTTAAGTCTATTAATTGTCCACTTAAGAAATTTGATTGTTTCAGATTTGAGGAAGTGGCCTGTGGACCCTTTTGCCCAGCACTTAACTGCAGAGTTGGTGAGAAGTGGCTGAGTTTCTCTCCAGAAAAAAGTATGTTTTCTTTTTTTTCTGGTTGAGAAGTAAAATGAATAACAAATCTCAACTTGTGGTAATCAACTCCACAAAGTCGGAATCTGTAACTTGTACAAAATCATATTTCTTCATTTTAATTTGAATCATTAAACAAGAAAATAAGAAGATCACTGGGGAAAAATGAACAAGTGTATCTTGCTGATGAATGAGAAGTTCACATTTCAAATGTCTTTTCCAGAACAATTTGATTTCAGCAAGCCATTCCACTTGCACTTGTTTTAAAGTTGTCCACTAAAAATGATTAGAGAGGAAACAAAATAATCATACACAAAGTGCATAGATAAGTGGGAGATAAAGGGAATGAGATTCTTCCCATTGCTTCACAAATTCAAATCCATCTTTCTAATAACTATATGTTTGAATCTCTCTAATCAGATTTGTTTCCCATCTCAGCACTGAAATAATCCTTATCAAAGTCATAAAAAACACATTCTACATGACTGATCTTGCTAACTAATCCCTGCTCAATTTACTGACCTGTTTGTAATGTTTGACATGACTAATCACATGCCAT